AACAGCAGTGAAGAAAAGTGACCATTTTTCGCACTTGCAACAGTTGCAACCCTTGTATCTCCTCTGCTGAGGAAAGAGAAGGGTTTTAACACATTCTGGAAGAATTAGAAAAGATTTTGATTGATGGTTTGTTCTGTATTTTAATGCTGCTTCTCATTGTCTGTTATCCAGAGTCCTTCTCTTGGCATCCTCTTTTTCTAAAAGATTATTATTAATGGACTAGTTCCATTCTTGTTTAAAGAATGGCTGCAGAACCTGTGAAAACAGCAAAAAATAAAACCACGTTACTGTGAAAAAAACTAACATATCACCATGGTAGATAAATCACTAACGTTAATTATAATTCATTGGGCACACAGAAGACTAGCAAGATCCAAGTTCCAATATTCACTCCTACATCCAAAGATGAAATTCTTTTTCTTTTTTGGCTTGGATAAATCACAAATTATTAGCATTGCAAATTGTTATTATAAAATATACCTGAAAATACTAAGGATTATACAGATTATACATGTATACGCACACAGAAATACACACCTATGAACTTATGTATGTAATTTTTTTTTAGGAAGGTGGGGAGACACTAATAAAATGGTGTCCAAAACCTATGAAACGTTGAAAGAAAGCATCCCTTTTGCCCAAGAAACTCCTCACTTCCCTGGAAAATACATGTCAATAAAATCTCAAGGAATCAAGTGTTACGTGTAAACGGAGGGAACTGGGCGGTTAAGAAATATGAAAAAAAAAGATTTCTTAAACGTCCCAAATCTCCCAGCAGAAAATCACAGGCAGCAGTTTTAAATCATGCGGCATAAGGATAATAACATTTGGGGAGAGAAAGCCTATGCAGCAGCAGCCGATATCTTTCAGCCTCGTCCCTTCGCTGCTTCCACACCGTGGAGGAAACCAAACAGCCCGACTTGCTCCCGGCTTCTCCTCCGACCCGTCCTCCATTCACCTCCCAGGAGCCGCTTCGACCCTCCAGACAGCGGAAGAGGCTCCGCCGACGCCGTCCTCCTCCCGTGGCTGAGCCGGAAGAGGAAGTTCCTCTGTCCTCCTCTCTAGCATTCCAATACTCTATGGTTTCATTTCGTTCCAGCTCTGTGCATTCTATTACAAAAAGTCGCTGCCGCTCCCTAAAAATTCATGAAGTTCTTTTTTGTCTAAACGGTTGCCAGCTTCGTCCTATAAATAGAACAATGAAACATAGGAGAAACCCAGAAGCACCCACTGAACCACATCTAGTTGGGAGGTAAATATGATCTTCCTGTCTGTGTTATTGGGGAGTTTAAATCTTGCTAGGGGGCAGAGTTGCTCAGAGCAGCCTTCCCACCTTTCAGCTATATTATTCCCAAGCGGCTTGAAGAAAAACACTTGGAGGCAACCAGTTTGCAGGAAGCTGGTCCGAAGATTCCTGCTCTGCATGCTGTGATAAAATCAAAAAGTACTACAAGAAAGGCTGCACATCTTTATGAAACCATGTTAATTGTTTTTTATTGTCATTTCCTCCCCATAAAAGATTTCAGTTTGCATTTCAACTGAATTCTACAGTTTATACATTATAGGAAAGGTGGGGGAAATTCCTAGTTGATTTATCTTGGTCTATTATTATTTTTTTTGTTACATCTCAAAAACCTGGCATTTTACAAGGGGTGTGTAGACTTTTTATATTCACCATATAGCTGGAGGTTTGGGGGATAAGATTATATAGATGCAGATATATGCAGAGAGAAATACAACTAGGAACAGTTACAAATGTATATATGTCGAAAATCCACGTGTTTTCAGCCTGCAAATAGTCCCAAAATGGTTACAGTTAAACTTTCTGATCTAATTTTTGAGATGATAATAATAATAATAATAATAATAATAATAATAATAATAATAATAATAATANGCAGGAAACCCTATACCATTTCGGACAAATGGCTGTCCAGTTTCTTCTTAAAAACTTCCAGTGTTGGAGCATTCACCGCTTCTGGAGGCAGGTTGTTCCACTGGTTAATTGTTCTCACTGTCAGGAAGTTTCTCCTTAGTTCTAGATTGCTTCTCTCCTTGATTAGTTTCCACCCGTTGCTTCTTGTCCTGCCTCCAGGCGCTTTGGAAAATAGTTGACTCCCTCTTCTTTATGGCAACCCCTGAGATATTGGAACACTGCTATCATGTCCCCCCTCGTCCTTCTCTTCATTAAACTAGACATACCCAATTCCAGCAGCTGTTCCTTATATGCTTTAGCCTCCAGTCCCCTAATCATCTTTGTTGCTCTTCTCTGTACTCTTTCCAAAGTCTCAACATCTTTTTTACATCGCGGTGACCAAAACTGGATGCAGTATTCCAAGGGTGGCCTTACCAAGGCATTGTAAAGTGGTATTAAGATGTGGGGGCTTTAACTGATGAAATGATGCCTAAAGCCTCTGCAAGATTTGAAGCACCAGTTTTGCCCATGCAAGTCCCCAGTTCCAAGTAAGGGCAAAAAATATTGTCCACAACCCCTCTGGTGACATCCACATTCAAGTAATCCTCACCTACTGACCACAATTAGAACTGGCATCTGTGTCACTAAGAAGCCTGATGGTTAAACATGATGTCACATGACAGGGCCAGGAGAACCGTCAATCTAATAGCAACATCAGCGGTGGCTGAGATCCGACATCCAACCAGAGGGGGCGCAGAGGAGCTGAAGGGAGTTAAAGCCATCGAGTATTGCTAGAAAGGATGTCGAGGAGAGTAGAAGAGGAGAGTAACTTCCTCTTCCGGCTCATCCATGGAAGAATGGAGGCATGGAGGGTGGCATGGATGCTCTTCCCGGGGCTAAAGCATCAGCTGGACGGTGAGTGGAGGGCAGGTCGGAGGAGAAGCCGGGAGCAAGTAGGGCTGCCTGGTTTCCTCCACGGTGTAAAAGCAGAGAAGCAACTAGGCTGAAGCATGTCGGCTGCTTCTTTCTCTCCCCAAATGTTATTACTACTTATGCTGTATAATTTAAAACTTCTGCCTGTAATTTTGCGCTGGGAAAGGGGAGAAAGTAAAATGTAAAGGCCTGGAGGCTAAAACATATGAACAACGGTTGCAGGATTTGGGTTTGAGCAGTCTAGAGAAAAGGAAGATTGGAGGGGGGGGGACATGATAGTAGTATTCCAGTATTTGAGGGTCTGACACAAAGAGCAGGGGATCAGTTTATGTTCTAAAGCACCAGAAAGCAGGACAAGAAACAATTGGTGGAAACTAATCAAGGAGAGAAGCAACCTGGAATTAAGGAGAAATTTCCTAACAGTGAGAACAAGTAGTGGAACAGCTTGCTTGGACATGTGATAAAGTAAAGAAATATTTTGAGTAGGACTCATATTTTAATGCAGAAAATTCTTAAATATAAATATTAAACCAGAATCTTTCCTTCTGGGCCTAATGGAAAAAGACTTGGGAACAAAATTTGAAACTTTGATTTTATGTATGGTGACTGCAGCAAGAGTGAAATATGAACAAAAATGGAAGGGTGTTTGAATCCTACTATTGAAGGAAAACTCTTCATCCTGGTTCATCCAAGCCAGGGATAAATAACACGGCGACTACTTTAGAAAGAAGGTTGCAGTTTATTTAAGAGCCAGACAGAAAATGGTTCTGGCAAGAAAGAGGAGAGAAAAAAGGGCTGAGGACATGTGAGGAGTAGGTTTTTATACCCTCTGAAAGCCTTTTGTTTGGAGTTGCTTCCTGTTCCTGTAGTGAGGCTTTGTATGTCCTGTGTCACATATTCTGACCTGAGTCTGGATGTGCCTTTCTGGTATTCTTGATGGTGGTAGGTTAATCCTATTATGTCCCAAGATCATATCCTGCTTCCCTGGTGCTGGGGCTAATGACTCTTAGAGTTCGGGTGGAGTATGCAGATTTTAGGTGTCTTTGTCTTCCTAAGCTTCTAACTCCAACTTTCCTGATGGTTTACATCTGTATTTGTACAGGGCTGGCTTCTGCTTGGGACGGAGAGACTTGGGGGCAGGGTTGGTTTCTGCTTTTAAAATCCTTTTGAGGAAATATATTTTTCTGCCCTTTTAATATTTCCTTCTCTGGGGGGTCTGACTTCCCACGCTACCATGGACGAATGGCTGCAAAACTGATGGAATTAGCAGAGATGAATCAGTTTACTTTTTTGATAAAAGAAAGAATGTAAGTACTTTTGTTTCTACTTGGAAACCGCTTCTGGACTTTGTCCTTGAGGTGGAAGAAAATGATACCGTGATTTTGGGTTTTACTGATGATTGTTTTGTTGATACAGAAACAGCTAACCAAGAAAAAAAAAGTTATGAGTGCTTCATCACTGGAGGTTTTAAAGAAAAGATTGGACAGCCAGTTGTCTGAAATGGTACATGGTCTCCAGCTTGAGCAGGGGTTGCCCTGGAAGACCTACAAGGTGCTTTCCACCTCTATTCTGATTGATATACGGACGCATATGAACATCGAAATACATAAATTGATAGGTGTCTATTTCTGTGAGAATACGTATATCCATCCAAGCCAAAAAGAGAATTTTATAATTGAATCAATATTTGAACTTGAATTTTCCTAGTCTTCTGTGTGCCAAATATATCATAAAAAATGTTAGAGGTTAAACTTAGAATTTTGATGTTTTCAGGGTAATATATAGATTTGTTGGGGGTTTTTTTTCCTGTTTTTACATGTCCTGCAGCCATTTGTTAAACAATAATGAAACTAATGCATTAATGTGAATCTTACAGACAAAGAGGATGCCAAGAAGAGCACTCTGGACAACAGAGAATGAGAAGCTTGACTCAAAGAACCTCCAAGTAAGAGCTTAGAAACATTTTTGGCTTCTTCAAGAATCCAAGAATTGGGAAAAAAAACCATAGACTGCCTAAAGTGGGAAAATAGAGGTTGCAAATCACAGCTAATTGTGCACGAGACAATCCACCCACTGGCTTCCTCATAATTCATGGAAGGACCCATACCGGAGAGAAGCTCTACCAGTGCTCCCCATGTGACAAAAGATTTAGCATGCACCACTAATATAGTGATACACCAGAGGACTCATACAGGAGAGAAACCGTATCAGTGCCCAGAGTGTGGGAAAGGTTTCTCTCGGAAATCTGACCTGGTTGATCATCAAAGGACTCACACAGGAGAGAAACCGTATCAGTGCCCAGAGTGTGGAAAATGTTTCAGTCAGAGTTCCTACATGGTGAAACACCGGAGGACTCACACAGGGGACAAACAGTATCAGTGTCTGGATTGTGGGAAAAGTTTCCATCGGAATTCCAACTTGGTGATTCACCAGAGGAATCACACGGGAGAGAAACCGTATGAGTGCCCAGAGTGTGGGAAAGGTTTCTCTCGGAAATATAACCTGGTTAAACATCAAAGGACTCACACAGGAGAGAAACCGTATGAGTGCCCACAGTGTGGGAAAGGTTTCAGTCAGAGTTCCTACATGGTGATACACCAGAGGACTCACACAGGAGAGAAACCGTATGAGTGCCCAGGGTGTGGGAAAAGTTTCAGTCAGTATTCCTACATGGTGAAACACCAGAGGAGTCACGCAGGGGACGAACAGTATCAGTGTCTGGATTGTGGGAAAAGTTTCCATCGGAATTCCAACTTGGTGATTCACCAGAGGAATCACATAGGAGAGAAACCGTATGAGTGCCCAGAGTGTGGGAAAGGTTTCTCTCGGAAATATAACCTAGTTAAACATCAAAGGACTCACACAGGAGAGAAACCGTATGAGTGCCCAGAGTGTGGGAAATGTTTCCGACAGAATTCCAACATGGTGATACACCAGAGGACTCATACAGGAGAAAAACCGTATGAGTGCCCAGAGTGTGGGAAAGATTTCTCTTCAAAATCTTACCTGGTTGATCATCAAAGGACTCACACAGGAGAGAAACCGTATGAGTGCCCAGAGTGTGGGAAAAGTTTCTCTTTGAAATCTTACCTGGTTGATCATCAAAGGACTCACACAAGAGAGAAACCATATAAGTGCCCAGAGTGTGGGAAATGTTTCAGTCAGAGTTCTCACCTGGTGATACACCAGAGGACTCACACAGGAGAGAAACCATATGAGTGCCCAGAATGTGGGAAATGTTTCAGACAGAATTCCAACATGGTGAAACACCAGAGGACTCACACAGGAGAGAAACCGTACGAGTGCCCAGAGTGTGGGAAAGGTTTCTCTGGGAAATCTGACCTGGTTAAACATCAAAGGACTCACACAGGAGAGAAACCGTATGAGTGCCCAGAGTGTGGGAAATGTTTCAGTCAGAGTTCCTACCTCGTGATACACCAGAGGGCTCACACGGGAGAGAAACCGTATGAGTGCCCTGATTGTGGGAAGGGTTTCTCTGGGAAATCTGACCTGGTTAAACATCAAAGGACTCACACAGGAGAGAAACCGTATGAGTGCCCAGAGTGTCCAGAATGTCAGGAAAGTTTCAGTTGCAAATCTGAACTGGTGAAGGACTAGAAGACTAAAAGAGGAGAGAGACTGTATGAGTGTCCAGATTGTGGGAAAAATTTCAGTTAGAATTCCTACGTGGTGGAACACCAGAGGATTCACACAGGAGATTTTTTTTTTTAACTTGGACTTCAGTAAGGCATTTGATAAAGTAGACCACAACCTACTTGGATAAGATGGAAAAATGTGGGTTAGACAGCATCACCAGCAGCTGGATTCGACGCTGGCTAACCGGACGTACTCGGCGTGAGGTCCTCAATGGAACCGCATCTATATTGTGGGAGGAGCCTATTGGGGTGCCCCAGGGCTCTGTTCTGGGCTCAGTGCTCTTCAACATCTTCAACAATGATTTGGATGGGAGGATAGATGGGGACTCGTCAAATTTGCAGACGACACCAAGCTTGCAGGAATCGCCAACACTCCAGAAGATAGGCTTAAGATACAGAGGGATCTTGACAGAATTGAAGATTGGGGGCTAGCTAACAAAATGAAATTCAATGGTGAAAAAAGTAAGGCTCTATATTTAGGCAAGAAAAACCAAATGCGGCTCTTTCAGCCTTCTGCTGCGGCTCCCAGTCCTCTACCATTTGCAGTCCCCCCCCCAAAAAGTGGGAGTTCAATCAATCAATTCCAACTTCTTACAAAAAAAAAATAGATCTCGCGAAGTTGGAATTGATTGATTGAATTTCTTTTGTTTGTGGGACTTCCCACAAACTTCTTTTCTTCTTGGGAGTGCACGTGGCGGGTGGCGGAGGAAGAGATGGAGGACTGCTGGAAAGAAGGTCTTTGGGTCACCGCTTGCCCTGGGCCCGGCTGCACCTCTGGGTGGTCTGCTGCCCTGTTCGTCTCCCACTGACCTGACGCACCCTTCTTGGCTGGCGGGCCCTTCTTGGCTTTCGTCTGCTCGCCGGGGCTCAACTGGGCCGGGGCACTGGATTGCTCCCCGTGGCCTTCCAGCCTCGGCTGCAGCCCGCTTTCTGCCGCTGGGTTGCGCACCTTGTGTGAACACCAGAACTGCCTTGCCCGAAATGACTGTCAGCCCATTGAGCTCCAAGAGGCCTCGTGATCTGCCAGCCAGCGGGCAAGGCGGCTCTGGCGTTCACACCACAAAGCGCACAACCCAGCGGCAGAAAGCCTACCTTAGGGCTTTGCACGATCACCAGACGGAGGGGGTTCCCTCGACTCCCCCATGGGAGAGCCTGGCTACCCAGGGATCCTTCCCCCCTTGTCAGACTGGCGGGAGCCACAGAGTGTGAACCTGAGTGAGCTGTCCTCCACGCCACTCGAGAGCTCCCCTCCCACCTTCTCGCTCTTGCCGTCACCACTGTCCTGGAAGGCGCCCTCCAACGGGCTGCCCGGGCAAGCAGATGAAAGCAAGAAGTAGGGCCCGCTGGTGAAAAAGAGCGTGCCAGATCAGTGGGAGTCAGCCAGGGCAGCAGGCCGCCTGGAGGTGCAGCTGGGCCCAGGGCAAGTGCTGCTGGCGGGCAGTGGGAGAGGGAGAGGAGGGAGAGCCGGAGCTGTGGCTCTTCGCCCAGAGATGCTGCTTCCTTTTGGCCACCGGACTGGGCTTTGGCCACGCACTAGCAGAGAAGCCGTTATGAAGCGGGTGGTTTCTGTCCAGGGTCCCAGTCCCCTCGGTTGCCGCCTGCCCCAGGCAGGAGTCTTCGGGGACAGGGAGGGGAGGGGGCCACCCCGGGGCAGAGACCGAAGCAGGGTAGCAGTTTTGATAGCCCCTCAGAAGCAGCAGGTAGGTAGGGAAAGGAGCAGAGGGAAGGTTGGGCTGGAGGGCAGCAGCGGGAACCCAACAGGGAAGGCATCGGACATAAAACAAGGGTGGGAGCCAGGCTGGGGAGTGTCTGAGGCTGGCTGCTCTCCCTACGGCCATTGAGGACCATCGTGCCAGCACGAGGCGCCCGCCTCATTCATGCCCTGGAGCGCGAGGAAGGCGGCCAGAAGCAGCTGCGCAGGTGCCTTCTCACTCGATAATGGTGATGCATGGTAAAGGCACTCTGGGCTCAATTCCGGCCACCCCCTTTCCCACCTGGACCGCTCCTTCAATCAGTTACTCGGGCGCGATCGCTCCCTCCTCTTTGAGAAGCCTCATCCAAATTTACATGGGAGGGTTCTAGCGAAAGGGGTGTGCAATGAGGAGCGCGAGGGAGAAGCGAACAGGCTACGGCGAGTGGGGGCTATTCATTTGGCAGTGTCATTTGGCAGAGAGCATGTGAACTGCACCAGAGGCTGGTGGGAGGGGGAGGAAGGGGGTAGGGAGAGAGTAGTTCATTGATTTCATAAATGCAACACACTAGTTTTTTTATACATAGCATACAGGTAAAAAACAATATATAGAGTGTTATCTTCATTTTAGATGTCAAAAGGGTTTTGTGGCTCCCAGTGTTTTCTGTGGGAAACGGGTCCAAGTGGCTCTTTGAGTGTTTAAGGTTGCCGACCCCTGGGATAGGTGGTAGCTTGCTCAATATTAATAACTGACGGATTAGTAACTCAAGTGGACAATCACGTAATTATGAGTCAGCAGTGTGCTGCAGCTGCCACAAAAGCCAACACAGTGCTAGGCTGCATTAACAGAGGGATAGAATCAAGATCACATGAAGTGTTAATACCACTTTACAATGCCTTGATAAGGCCACACTTGGAATAATGCATCCAGTTTTGGTCACCACAATGTAAAAAAAGATGCTGAGACTCTAGAAAGAGTACAGAGAAGAGCAACAAGTATGATTAAGGCAGGGGTCCCTTACCCCCGGTCCGTGGACCGGCACCAGGTCACGGCATGCCTGAATCCATGCTGTGCAAACAAGCAAAGGCCCATCTGCAGGATGCAGGCAGCACATGAAACTACGCCTCCTCCGACCCATGAAAAATCATCTCTCCCTGGAAACGGTCCCTAGTGCCCAAAAGGTTGGGGACCTCTGGATTAGGGTACTAGAAGCTAAAACATGTAAAGAACAGTTGCTGGAATTGGGTATGTCTAGCTTAATGAAGAGAAGTACAAGGGGGGGGGGGGGACATGATAGCAGTGTTCCAATAGATCCAGGGTTGCCATACAGAAGAGGGAGTCAAGCTAATCTCCAAAGCACCTGAAGGTAAGACAAGAAGCAACGGATGGAAAGTAATCAAGGAGAGAAGCAACCTAGAACTAAGGAGAAATTTCCTGACGGAACAATTAAACAGTGGAACAATGTGCCTCCAGAAGTTGTGAATGCTCTAAGACTGGAAGTTTTTAAGAAGAGACTGGACAACCATTTGTCTGAAATGGTATAGGGTTTCCTGCCTGAGCAGGGGGTTGGACAAACCTCCAAGGTCCCTTCCATCATTATTATTATTATTATTATTATTATTATTATTATTATTATTATTATTATTATTATCCATAGTAGGGTGTCAAATGTGGGAAAAGTTTCAGTCGGAATTCCAGTTTGGTGATACAGTGGAGGAGTCACACAGGAGAGAAACCGTGTGAATGTCCGGTTTGTGGGACAGATTTCAGCACTAGTTCTAGTCTTTTAAATCATGTAAGATTACACATAGGGGAGTAGCCATTCAAACACCTAGATTGCAGATAGTTTTTCACACAAAATTCCTCCCTTATCACACCCAACAAATTCCACACAAGGCAAAATTTGATATGTGTAGAGGAATCTAGTATTTTGTTTCTTTTCTCTGGAAGCCCAGCTGACCAATTAACCATTTACTTTCTTCCATGATTCTTTTTAGTGAGACATGTCTTAGTATCAAAAATGAGGGAGAAAAAGAAGGGAATTAAATTACAGAGTTGAAAGGGACCTTGTGTGTCATCTACTCCCACCCCCTGCTCAAACAGGAGACCCTGCACCATTTCTGACAAGGGGCTGTCCGGTCTCTTCTAGAAAGCCTGCGGTGATGAAGCACCCACAACTTCTGAAGGCAAGCTGTTCAGTTTCCCGATTGTCCTCACTGTCAGAAAGTTTCTCCTTATTTCTAAGCTGAATCTCTCCTTGATCAGTTTCCATCCATTGTTCCTTGTCTTCGGGTGCTTTGGAAAATAGGTTGTCCCGCTCCTCTCTGACAGTCCCTCAAATACTGGAAGACTCCTGGTCCTCCTCTTCACTAGACTAGTGATGCCCATTTCGCCATATGTTTTAGCCTGCAGGCCTCTGATCTGAACTTCCTTTCACTTCCTTTGTTCTTTCTCTTTCCTTTCTCTGATCTGAGCTTCCTGTCTCTGGCCCAGTGCAGTCCTTCCCTTTCACGGAATTGAGGGCAATTGGTCTGCTGGGCCACAAGAAAGGAGCTTGAGTCTATATTAGGTATGTTTGTCGCCTTCAGTTATTTTTATGTATAATAAAGAGGGATATAAAATACATTTTTATGCATTTTTATTAAGAAAATGTATGTGGCAGCCCAACTCGTGGTGACTCCACTCAGTTTTCAGCAATTAAACCTTAATAGAAACCAATAAACCCCATACAATGCAAATAGTAAAATGCAGAGCCTTCACATTTAATATATTTTTGTTAATTGTGAAGTCGTGTCTGACCCATCGCGACCCCATGGACAACGTTCCTCCAGGTCTTCCTGTCCTCTACCATCTTCTGGAGTCCATTTAAGTTCACGCCTACTGCTTCAGTGACTCCATCCAGCCACCTCATTCTCTGTCATCCCGTTCTTCTATTGCCCTCAATCTTTCCCAGCATTAGGCCCTGCTCCAGTGAGTCCTTCCTTCTCATTAGGTGGCCAAAGTATTTAAGTTTGAACTTCAGGATCTGGCCTTCTAAAGAGCAGTCGGGGTTGATCTCTTCTAGGACTGACCGGTTTGAACCGCCTTGCAGTCCAGGGGACTCGCAGGAGTCTTCTCCAGCACCGTAGTTCAAAGGCCTCAATTCTTTTTCGCTCAGCCTTTCTTATGGTCCAACTTTCACATCCATACATTGCAACTGGGAAAACCATGGCCTTGACTATACGCACTTTTGTTGGCAGGGTGATGTCTCTGCTTTTTAGTATGCTGTCTAGATTTGCCATAGCTTTCCTCCCCAGGAGCAAGCGTCTTTTAATTTCTTGGCTGCAGTCCCCATCTGAGGTGATCTTGGAGCCCAGGAAAATAAAATCTGTCACTACCACCATTTCTTCTCCATCTATTTGCCAGGAATTGAGAGGGCCGGATACCATGATCTTGGTTTTCTTGATGTTGAGTTTCAAGCCAACTTTTGCACTCTCCTTCTTCACCCGCATCAAGACGCTCTTTAGTTCCTCTTCACTTTCTGCCATTAGAGTGATATCATCTGCATATCTTAGGTTGTTGATATTTCTCCCAGCAATCTTAATTCCAACTTTTGATTGCCTTTCTCATGATGTGCTCTGCATATAAGTTAAATAGGCAGGGTGACAGAATACAGCCTTGCCGGACTCCTTTCCCAATTTTGAACCAATCAGTGGTTCCGTGTCCAGTTCTCACTGTTGCTTCTTGACTCACGTATAGGTTTCTTAGGAGACAAATAAGATGGTCTGGTACTTCCATCTCTTTAAGAACTTGCCACAATTTGTTGTGATCCACACAATCAAAGGCTTTAGCACAGTCAATGAAGTAGAAGTAGATGTTTTTCTGGAACTCCCTAGCTTTCTCCATGATCCAGCGTATGTTGGCAATTTGATCTCTAGTTCCTCTGCCTCTTCGAAATCCTGCCTGTACTTCTGGTAGTTCTCGATCCACATACTGCTGGAGTCTAGCTTGTAGGATTTTAAGCATAACTTTACTAGCCTGTGAAATGAGTGCAATGGTGCGATAGTTTGAACATTCTTTGGCATTGCCTTTCTTTGGAATTGGAATGTAAACTGACCTTTTCCAATCCTGTGGCCACTGTTGAGTTTTCCAAATTTTCTGGCAAATTGAATGTAGCACTTTTACTGCATCGTCTTTTAAGATTTTGAATAGCTCAGCTGGAATACTGTCGCCTCCACTAGCTTTGTTGTTGCTCAGATTTCCTAAGGCCCATTTCACTTTACATTCTAGGATGTCTGGCTCGAGGTCAGTGACCACTCCATCGTGGTTATCTGGGATGTTAAGCTCGTTCTTGTATAGGTCTTCTGTGTAGTTCTGCTACCTCTTCTTAATCTCTTCTGCCTCTGTTAGGTCCCTGCCATTTTGGTCCTTTATCATGCCCATCTTTTTTGCCTAAACGATTGCCAGCTTCGTCCTATTAATAGAACAATGAAACATGGGACAAACCTGGAAGCACCCATTGGGATTGCCTCTTGAACCACATCTAGTTGGGAGGTAGATATGGTCTTCCTGTCTTCTTTATTGGTGAGTTTAAATCTTGCTAGGGGGCAGAATTGCTCAGAGCAGCCTTCCCACCTTTCAGCCATATTATTTCCAAGTGGCTTGAAGAAAAACACTTGGAGGAAACCAGTTTGTAGGAAGCTGGTCCGAAGATTCCTGTGTCATGTGTCTGAGTAACGAAACACTTAAAAAGACTTTCAGGCATGTTTTCTCCTAAAAGCATTTATTGATGTTAAAGCCACATCAGCACAGCATGGGGGAATGCTTAGGACTGGTTCCTTTTCCGCTATGCATGTAATTCTAAACATTTCCCTCCCACCTTTTTTTGGGGTCATGGTTCACATCTTCCAATCAACTTGGAAGATGTGATTTACATCCGGTTTCTTTTCCCCTTCTGCCTGGTTTAACTATAAAAATGCCAGACAGCTCTGCATATTGTCAAAGCAAGAATATACAGTATTTGCAGCGTTGACATCCTGCTCTGCATGCTGTGATAAAATCAAAAAGTACTACAAGAAAGGCTGCACATATTTATGAAACCATGTTAATTGTTTTTTATTGTAATTTCCTCCCCATAAAAGATTTCAGTTTGTATTTCAATTGAATTGTATAATTTATACATTATAGGAAAGGGGGGGGGGAATTCCTAGTTGATTTATCTTGATGTATTTTTTTTTTTGCTACATCTCAAAAACCTGGCATTTTCCAAGGGGTGTGTAGACTTTTTATATCCACCGTATAGATCAGTGGTTCTCAACCTTTTTAATGCCGCGACCCCCAACCGGTTGTAAGTCGAGGACTAAACCGGTCGTAAGTCGAGGACTACCCAACCGGTTGTAAGTCGAGGACTTTCCCTGCCCGGGAGCGCCGCGCATGCGTGGTTCCGCCCCCTGCGCCAGCCGAGGCGTAGCTGGCAAGCGGCAGAGACGGAGCAGGCCGACCATCAGCTGGCCCAGCTCAAGGTAAGGCACCTGCCAGAAAAGGGGGGAAAAAATGGCAGACAGCCTTGCTTGGCGACCCCCGTGAAATGGTCGATCGACCCCAAATGGGGTCGCGACCCATAGGTTGAGAACCGCTGGTATAGATGGAGCTTTTGGGGATAAGATTATATAGATGCAGATATATGCAGAGAGAAATACCACTACACACACCTACAAATGTATATATGTTGAAAATCCATGTGTTTTCAGCCTGCAAATCATCCCAAAATGGTTACAGTCAAACGTTCTGATCTAATTTTAGAGATGTGGGGGCTTTAACTGATGAAATGATGCCTAAAGCCTCTGCAAGATTTGAAGCACCAGTTTTGCCCATGCAAGTCCCCAGCTCCAAGTAAGGGCAAAAAATATTGTCCACAACCCCTCTGGCGACATCCACATTCAAGTAGTCCTCACTTACTGACCACAATTGGGACTGGCATCTGTGTCACTAAGAAGCCTGATCATTAAGCATGATGTCACATGACAGGGCCAACTTATATCTGTTCCTCTGCCATTGTTAAGCTAATCGCTGTGGGTTGTTTTAGAGGCAATCTCATGTGACTGGCAACTTCTTGCCGGCATCCCCTTGTCAGAAGCTGGCTGGGAAGGTCACAAATGGGATCATAAATGTGTATCTGTTGGCCACCCCCGAATTGGTGCAACTCCTTTTCCTGCACCTTCAGAACCACAGGAAGTGCCATCACGGAATAAGTGCCACGATCGCCACAAATATGTGGAAGAGGTTTATGTGTGCTTTTACGGTCCTGTAATAATTTTGAAGGCTCAGTGAAGAAATGATAAGCCAGGACTGCCTCTATAACTGAACCTCCCAAAAAGGTCTCAATACCTTTTTTTTTTTTTTTAAAGTGCTGGCTTAAGCACAGTTGAACCTGGTTAATACCCTGATGGGGCTCCAATAGGAAATACCGTGCTTGTCAGCTAAACATGGAAGAAAAAGAACGTAAAATCCCAGAAGACACCAGTGGCAGATCAGTCCCATATTGTTGCCAAGAAAGCAACATGTCTTCCAGAACAATGTCCATAAAACCCCAAGCAATCAAA